GTTGTCCTCTTCTCCCTCTCTGCCTACGGTTTACCGGGCAGTTCTATTTGACGATATATATATATATATATATATATATATATATATATATATTTGACGATATATATATACAGGGTTATCTTTATATATACAAGGTTATCTTTATATATATTTTTATCTTTATTGGGATTGTAGAGGAGCACGCTGAGCACGTGAAAACAATGCTAGGGCTCCTAAGACAGCACCAATATAAGATCAACATGGAGAAATGTTAGCTTTGTCACACCAAGACCTTGTACTTGGGTCATGAAATCTCAACGGATGGATTGAGATCCGAATGATCCTAAAGTGACCAGCATACGTGACTGGCCTAGACCTTAGTCTGCGACCGAGGTGAGGTCCTTTTTGGGGATGATGGGCTACTATCGTCTGTTTGTGAAAAATTGTAGTATTATAGCTTCCCCACTAACGGATCTTACATGCCTTCACACCCCAATGTGTGAGGTAGTCTTCAACAAACTGAAGTATGACCCGACACATTATAAAGTCTTGAAGCTTCATGATCCCGAAAAACCTTTCATTGTGACAACGGATGTCGGCCAATATGGTGTTGGCGCGGTCCTTGCACAGCAGGAAGGGAAGAAGTTTAGGCCTATCGAGTACATGAGCAAAAAGATGTTATCTCAGGAACTAGCTAAATCCACCTATGATTCATTGGAGATGCTACCTCCTTGGAAGATTTTTCTAATGTAAGAGTCGACCCTCAGACTCTTCGCTGGCTAAAAACACTTCTTATCTTTCATGCACCTCAAAAGCTGTGTAGAAGTCATAGACATGTATGACTTCAAATTGAATGATTTGAAGGGATAATACAATAAGGTTGCAGATGCACTATCTAAAAGTGCAACTTATATGAGGGTACTCGTGACTAAGTTTAGGATAGCTGACGATGTAACTTGATCTATCAAAATGGTGGAAGCCTATTAAGAGGACCCAGTTATGACAGAGATCATATACAAACTTGAGGCTAAAGACAAGGCCACATCAGGCGAGTTTGTGTTGGTCGATGGCTTGTTGTTCCTCGAGAAGGTCAGGAATAAAGGTTTATGTATTCCACGTATGTAGAGAGTTTTTGCGTAGTTTATTTTTAGGTGAGTGTCACGATGCAGGCAAACTTATTGGCTATAAAAAAATAATTGCAAACTTAGAGCAAAACTTTTGGTGGCCCACAATGATGGATGATGCGAATAAATATGTAGAGACTTGCCACGTTTGTCAGCGGTGCAAACCAAGAACTGTGTGTACGTTATTTTTTTTTCGTACGTACGAAACGTTGAACAAAATTGATGATGTCTACCTTTCTAGGTTTTTTAGCAACTTGCAGTACTCTATTCGGGTATGATCCTCATACTTACGCAAGCGTGCATCCAAGCGAAGGGGGGGCGAGGGTTTTGCATGTCACATGTATTTTTTTGACCATGTTCTGTCCAACATAAATGTCCCTTTACAAATACATTTCCACTTAGATATTTTTTTAACATTTTTGCATTGTTGCACATCACACACTCGCATTTCACACGTGATGAAATCCGAGGAAAAAAAAAAAGAAAATATTAAAACATGACACAAGTTGTACAACATAAAATCACTCTGGAAATCGGCCACAACACAAGATAAGGCGTTCTACACAGTCCTCAGTTCGCACATATTGCTTATAAACCCGACAGTGTGACAAACTACATTCTTTTCATCGATCTTTTCGCAATCGCTGGTGCTATTGTAACTTTTCATATTGTACTCGGAAGACATGGCAGATGGTTGTTGTGTCATCTGTAGTCATTATGTTGTTACACAGTAATTACTATATTATAAACAATCGCATGTGCAAAGATTTGTTGACATGCACAATCACGGCATTATAACATTGAATTTCACTAATTTCCTCGTTCGTGACCAGCACACGGGCGGGGCCCTCCATTTGTTTTTGCGGTGTCACTGTCCCCATCGGTTGTTCATTATTTTTCAAAACTATCAACTCTCAATGTGGACTGTCGACGGTGTCGTATCGCATGGTCCAGAGTAAGAGCAGATTGTTAGCATTTGAAGGGCCGCAAGAGGCCAGTACCAAAATCACGCTAGGCCGATTTCACTGCTCACTTGGACGAAAAATAACGCTCAGTACTACCGCATGCGACACTTACCTGGTAGAAAGAGTTGATAATGCAACCGGCCCAATGCGATTTTGGTACCGGCCTCCCGCGGTGCTTGCATTGTAGCGCATGTAACAATCCTTTTCAGAGTCGCTGTGTAGCGCGCAGTACTTGAACGGTGTTGCTCATATAATTATATTTTTCAAGAGGTGGTGTCAGAAAGAAGCCAGATCCCTTTGTTTAACTTGGATGTTGAAACTTTAATCATGCCAATGTGCAATGTATGCCTAATGAATGTGAACATGCATGTTCATGCCCGAGTGAACGTGCGTTCATCCCCCCTCTTTACCATGAATGATAGTATTGATCTACCCGTTTACGGATGCGAGGGGCCTTCCAGGATCTTTTCGGTCGGACAGAGGCATGATTCGGGTCGTGTCGCTCCCGACCTCCATTTTTTTGGGGGGGGGAAGGTCGACAAACAATTTTTTGAATCCCTCTTGCCTCGTCTCCTTTTGGGTATTCATGTCATCATTGCAGAGGATTTTAATGTGGAGTCCAGTAGGTGATTGGATTGATTTCATATCTCTTCCCTCTGCCCTGCATGTATTGAAATAGACAAACATATCATTGCAATTTTTTACAACATTCTTTGTTTTTTTAATTCAATCATAAAAATTAACTCTTCCAAATGAAAATACACATATCTCATAAAATGTCAAACATGTCTGGTTTCTAGATCGCATATATACCTAATACTTGTATCAAAGGAATTACACGGTGCCCTTCAGTTTGTAGAAATGTTTCCAACTAGCCCATATCTTGGTCTGTAACATGCTATATGTATGACTATCTTTTCCTCTAGGAAAAAACTAGATTAAGGTCGAGGGTTCTGAAAGTTGAATGTCTCTCATCTAAAGATTGAAAAATTTAAAGATTTCATAAAAATGTGTGGATCTTCTTGAGGAAACAAAGAGACTCTATGAATAATGATATTGAATGATTAAACATGGGTTTGCCTTTCATAGGTCGTAAATGTAATGAATATTCAATATTCTAAATTATTATCTTTATAACGACATTCAAATAAATTTGTCTTCATGAGGGGATTCAACAATTACAAAAAAAACATATTGATCTTGATGATCATAAGTTTTCCGAAACCATAGCAGTGGAGATTCAAGAATTGGAAGATCAATTGCTAACTCAAATGAAATATAGATCGCAAGGGACAAAAATATGGAAAAAACTCGTGCGTCATTATATAGAAGAGATAATGAATATATGTTTCTTGCAATGGCTTGAGCACGAACAAGCAACGATTATTGAGGCTCTTATTGATCCTCGCAATAGAGAAGGGATATTGGTCACCTCGGCTGCAGCTTGTACAAAAATAACAAGGGACTTTTTTAATGAGTTGTTTACTTCAAGTAATTTTTATATTTTTATGGATAATCGTACCAGGTACATAATTGACTTTCTCATTTATTTTACGAAAACTCTAACAAATGAACAAAAGGAAATGATGATCATGCCCTTATCCGAGGAGGAAGTGTGATTTGTCTTTATACTTATGGAATAAGAAAAACCGCAGGAAGATATGGACTACCAAAATAATTTGGGAATCATTTTGGGATGTTGCATCATAAGACCTAATGAATTTTTGCCAAGCAGCATGGACCTCATGAGATATGAGGGAATTGATGAGTCAAGAAGTATTGACACTGCTCTACAAAAAAAGTGATAAAAATAATATTAGAAACTACCCTCCTATCACATTACTTACAATGTCTATAAGATGGTGACCAATACTCTTGCTGATAGATTAAACAATGTGATAATCGATGTTATTCATCCATCTCGGACAAGTTTTCTTAAAAGTTGAAATATCTAAAATAATATCCTATTTATTAATGAACTCATTAAACTTTCAAGGCAATCAAAAAATAATGTCGTTGTTATTTTTTTTAGATGATGAGAAAACATATGATCATATAGATTGTTTTTTTTAAACAAGTATCTGGAGAAATTTAACTTTGGTCCTTGCTCTAGGAGATGGATTAAAATCATGCATGCTAATGTCACCACTTGTCTGATCATTAATGACAATGTGGCCCCTCCTTTTCAGTTGCAAAGATTGGTCCGTCAAGGGGACCCTATAGCTCCTTAAGTTTTTGTTATTATAATGGAAGTGTTAGCGATCAACTTACGTCACAGCAGGTATATCAAACGAATTTAGGTAACATCTATCCAGAGGAGGCAATTTCAATGTGTTCTCTTTCTGATGATAATCTCTCCTTTATGAAGGAAGCATCACATGAAAATTTATAAGAAATTCAAAGAATGATAGTTGGATTCTGTAGTTTATCTGATATGAAGGTTAACTGGGTAGTAAAACAATGGGTTGGTGGATTTATCATTAAGGAGTCAGACCTCCGGAAGCCCCATAAGTAAAATGACCCCTTTTAGATACCCCTATCAGAGTGTTAGCAATTTCTCCCTCGGCTAATGGAAAACCAATAACTAACAATGATTGTATTATTGAATAAACAAATAAAATTTCAATTATGAAAAATAAACACACCTCTATTCTTGGGCGCATTTTAGCAATCAACAATATCGTCCTTGCCTAAATCTAGTATAAATTTATCATTTCCGCAATCACTAAAGTCACCCTCAAGATATTCCAAAGAGAATTAACAACGTTTTTATGAAAAGACAATCATGAAAGTAATAATGTAATTAGTAGGGTGGTTTGACAGTCAGTGATTAATCCCAAGGTCAGAGGAGGTTTGAGTATTAACGATCTAGCGACTCAAGCCATGACACTATTCATCGAATGGTTGAAAACATTACAGGGACCAACACCCAAACCTGGAACTCTCCCCAGCCCACGGGGTAGGTTTGCAGCACAGTAGTGGTTCGAGAGCAAGGCTTGTATCCACCCCTCATCATGATGATGCATGCCGGGTGATGATCAAGCATTGTCGACGGGTGAAACCGGCGATGCTACCTAGTGCTCACCATCTTCTTTGACCAGTCACTTGCACCTCCCCCTACCTCCCTCTAACCCCACATTAGCGGTGTCTAATGACAAATGTCATTGCTGCATAGCAACCAACAATATTTTATTTTGCCAAGGTCCTGCCAGCGCTGGCTTGGAGAGCCAACGGGTTATCTCTAGCTGGTAGAACACCAGGCAAAAAAAAAAAAAAAAAAAAAGCTTGCCCAGGCACGTACATGAGGCCACTGGGTATCGAACCCACGACCTCCTGAATGCAACTTCTGTGCCTTTTTTTTTCTTTTTTTGTCATAAAAAGTCCATGGTGTTGTGGAGGCCAGTCACTGAGTTTCACAGCGATCATCAACTTTTGTGCGTTACCAACTGAGCTAAGCCGGCAGGCAAAGCCGAAGCACCACTTTGGGCCCTCGCTCCGATTCCTAACATTTTAGATCTTGACACGGAGGCTGTCCAGATACGTTCAAAATGTTTGATTCGTTGGAATGTATCTGGTCCACCTGGCTATCCAAATGCATGTAGAATGTCAAGTAGTGCTGCGAGGGCCTAGGACATTGAAATCTCCTCTCGCTAATCTATGGGCCTGGCTGCACTACTCTCGAAATGTGCAAAAGGGTAATGAATCTTCCGCTAGAATATGGAAAGATGCACAACCATTTTTTTTTCTTCTTTTGCCATTATTTTTATTATTATATTTTTTTTGGTGCGTGGGAAAATAGGGAAAAGTGGCAGTTTTCCCAAACTCCTAAAGATTCGGAGGCCGGGCCCGACGACGACTGCCATTGATAAATCTGATGGACGGCCTTGTTTCGTTTCGGCCTCAGAAAAGGTCGGAGGCCCACCGGATGCCCGCTATTTTCCCACGCGCCAAAGGTACTAGTGGTTTGCCAACCAATTCAATTACCTGGCGAATCTGGACAGGACGGCCTTTCAGGCCATTTTTATTGTCATTATAGTATTCCGGGGAACCCCGTAGCAGCCTCATGGAACATGCAGGGGCTGCCCCCACAAGCCTCCAACGAGGGAACATGCAGGGGCTGCCCCCACCAGCAGGTGTGATACCTCCTGCTACAGCAGGTGGGCGATACCGGCCAGGTGTCAGCCGGTAGCATCAGGACCTACATTAGCTTCTTCCATGGGCCAGTCACTGTCTCCCCTCCGTCTTTTGTGCATGTCCAGAGTAGTGCAGCGAGGCCCTACTGTAGGTATAGGACGGGGCAACACCAGTCTCTCCCTACGGTAGGTGGCCCACGGGTAGGTTGGCACCACAGACCCTCATCATGGTGATGAGGGGTGGGCAGGCATTGCTGATGGGGGAAATCGGCGGGTGGGACCGGTAGCGCCGACCGCGCAAAGCAGAGCGGAAGACAGCGGCCCTCGCTCGACTACTACTCAACTATCTAAGTGTACCTTGAGGGTTTAAGTGGACCAGATACATTCAACCCGACCCATTATTCTGAAATGATTCTGAATCTGAATGTATCTGACGACAATGGTATGTCCAGATACATGCTGATCGTTGTACCGTACAGTGGAGCGCGGCCCAACGATTTCTCACTCAGAGAAACCCTCGAGAAGAATTTTTTCTAAGTTCTAAGACGGCTATTGCGCTTGGTCATTTACACAGACAGGGAGGGGTCTTGACTTGATTTGACCACCATCGCTATTTCTGGCTATAGGCTCTTCTCAAGGCCTGCTCCTAAGCCGGGTAATGGTCCCAGTACAGTGTTTTCCTCTTTTCCAGGTTGATTGTGAGGTAATACCGGCCTCCCTTGTGCCCTCTATTTTTTTTTTTTTTGGCTTTTCTGAAATGATACGATAGATTTTGTTGGAAAAAAAAAGAAAATAAAATAAAAAATTTCCATGCAGTAAGAAGAGCGCGCTCTGTGCTTGGAGATCAGTATGACAACCTTTGCCAGGTCATTAATCACGTAATTAATTAATGAATTAATTACCCTGTAATTAATTGATTAATTAATGAATGAATGAATGAATGAATGAATGAATGAATGAATGAATGAATGAATTAATGAATTAATTAATTAATTACCTGGTAAGGACTGTCCAGGTCATCGCATGAGCGCGCTCTTCGTCCACGTCAGGCTGATAGTGATAAGTAATTAGCAGTTAATTAATTAATTACCCGGTGAGAGGTTCAGGATATGATGACGTGGACGAGCAGGATGACGTGGAGCTATGGTGGTGATGACGATGATGATGATGGTGATGACGATGATGATGATGGTGATGACACTAAATTGATGTGACAACAACGAGGCAGGGAACGGGCCGGAGAGGAGGAGGAGGAGGAGGAGGAGGAGGAGGAGGAGAGACTGTGAGACTGAGGATGTGATGACGTGGAGGATGAGGAGGAGGTGGAGCTGTGGTGCTGGTGATGATGGCGATGGTGATGGTGACGATGATGATGATGGTGATGATGGTGATGATGGTGAGGATGTGAATACAACGAGGATGGGGGCGAACTGCCCGAGGAGGAGTGATGACGATGATGATGATGATGATCAGTTCCAGATTGGGAGGAGGAGGAGGAGGAGGATACGCTACGATGATGATGATGATGATGATGATGATGATGATGATGATAGATGACGACGCTGATGACGAGGGTGAATAGCGATGATGCTGATGATGACGATGGTGATGATGCTGATGATGGTGATGGTGATGGTGATGATGATGATGATGATGATGATTGGGAGGGATAAGGCTATGATGATTTTAAGGAGGAGGGAAGGTAAACCGTTGATGATTAGTGATGACGATGACGATGATGATGCAACCTCCTCTTTTTCATTTCCCCTTGCTCCTCCTTTCCTTCTTCTCGACGTTGATGATGCCCCTCCCTCTCCCTCTCCCTCTCCCTCTCCCTCTCTCTTTCCATCTCCCTCTCCCTCTCCATCGTCATCTCCTCCCTCTCAATTGATAGTCTTCAATAATTTTGACATGCTGATGACGCCGCCTTTGACGATGATCATGATGATGATGATGACGTTGATGATGATGATGATGATGATGACGATGATGATGATGATGATGATGATGATGATGGATGATCATGACATCTCCTTGTACCCTCTACTCAAGTCCCTTATCACCCTGCTCCTCTTTATTATACTCCTGCTCTCTCCCCCCCTTCTACCCTCCCCCCCCCCCCCCCCCCCCCCCCCCCCCCCCCCCCCCCC